TTGACTGAAGCAATTCTTGGAAATTCCCGAAGACTTTCCGGTAACGCAATGCGGAAGTGAATTATCGATGTCGAAGTACGATCTGTTGGAATTGATTTCAGCGACTAAAAGACATGGTTTTTCCAAAAAACTAGTGACTTGCCATTTTTGAGAGGTAAACTGAATATGGCATGAAATATTTATCGCATTTTACTTTTATTAACAGGTCATTGTCGAAGCGTAGTTTACACACGGTTACCGTATTCTACGCATTCACAACATGTTCACAGCGATCGATATCCACGCTGTATCATATAAAAACGATTACCAAGATTCGTTACGCAAGATTGAGTTTTAAATTAGTTGCAATTTGAAGGGGTGGGCGCTTTGCCGAATGTGACCCCAAATATAAAAATTGCGCAAAAGTGGGGGATGGGCGCTTGCCCGGGCATGGGCGCTAACGCGGTCGAGTACGGTATGTACCAAGTAAAGGCAAAATTCAATAGGAACATATTAGTTTTTTGTGCATACATAATGTTTTCAATCTGGGCTGTCAACAAAAGTAATTATAGGATGGATCAATTTTGCCTGACTTGCCAATGTAGTACTGGATCAAATGTGTGATTTTTCATTTCTATAAATGTGAAGGCACATCACAAATAACAAAATATGAACTCCACAATTTTGGTAATCAGATTATTAGAATTCCGTTTACAGTATACAGACTACACAGCTTTAGAAAAACACACGGAACATGTGACACAAAGTACTGCACATGCACAGTTCACTCCACAAAGGTCAATTTGATGTTTTCCCCAGTGCATGCTGGGAGTTTATCATACAGTTAACTTGACCTTGGCCAAGTAAACATTTGTCACCATTCACAGAATAAACCTGCATAATTATTATAATATTTTTTCTAAAATATTGAGCAAGATCTCTAGCTGGTAGGAAATTGTCCAACTGGTTCAAAACTGCCCTGTTGCAAAACTGTTGCTCCACAATTTTGAAGAGAAATGATGGCATTCAAAAGGCTAATAGACCATTTACCGTACACTGCGAGAATCACGCGTTATGCGTGAAATCAAACGTAAAAACAGGACAAACAAAGGTCATAGCGTCGTAGTCGCGTCAAACATCGCGTGGGATTTGACAAACGCGAAAGTATTTCAGGGACATTTCCATGCTTAATAATGTGCTGTCCACATTTGGTGATAGGCAATTTCGATTAAGTAAG